GAGATAAATAGCATAGTTTACATCTAGTCAATTTTATGTTTATTTATATAAAATTTGTAAATAAACAAGAACGCACATAACAACATGAAACAGCATTCAATTTAAAGCAACCTCATCACTCCATTATGGGTTGATGTTCACTGAATCTACGTTTATGTCATGCCACTAGATTGGGATCATGTAAAATACACTCACAAATTTCCAGTTCCCCAAAACATAAAAGCACGACAACAAAGAAAATTCACGTATGAAGAATCCCTTTCAACAGATAATTTATGACGATTAACAAGTCAATTTCATAACGCAAAAGGTCACAGTTCAAATCAAGCTCTTACTGAATGAGAGGAATAAACTGGACATCTTCCTAAAAGACATATTTTCAGGCACCCATCCAAATCAGGCATAAAAGGAGAAAGAAAACTAAACCTTCAATTCACAAGGCTGTTCTTATGTAAACGGTTGTAATCCAAACATGGTTCGGGCCCTCTTTGAACGTCTCTTGATCCGTCCACAATTCGGTAAAAGACCTGCAAAACAAAGTCGAAGATTGTTCGGGCGTAGAAGCTCCGATGCTTAAGTCAGTAAACAGTGATGAAGATGATAAATTATATGTAATTGTATATATATCAGAGCATGTAGAGTTGTGATGAAGAGGTGTTACCTTGTTACTCAAGACTGCCCGACTGGACTTCTCGAGTGCCCGAGCTACCTGATCGTATTGCTCGAGTGCCTAAACTGCCTAATTTTGTTAGCCCACGTGGTCATATCCACGTGTCCTTATCTTATATTCATTCTTATCTATTGTGTGGTATCTTCACATTAGTCTCTGATTTGCGTTGTTCCTTCGGCAACTAGATTCAATCTCGGGATCAAATTTAGCGGGTGAACTCCCACTAGACCTCGTGATCATGCATGTACCTAGAAACACACAATAAAGGAAAAATAAACGAGTCCAATATAAAGAAAAAATAATTATAAAAAAATGAAATAAAAATGTCTAAACTAATATCTATTCGCCTCCTTCTAATATTAATCAATTTAACAAATAATCCCCGGCAACGACGTCAAAACTTATTCGCAAAATATTTTCACTACCCGTAAGTGTACAGTGTAGCTATAGCCAACGGCGAGCAAGATCATATTCCACAGAGATTGTGGTTAAAATAATTAAGTACCAAAATGTAGACGATTAAACTAAACTAAATTCAATGAATAATAATAAATTGATTCTAACAACTAATGAAGGCTTATTCTAAATAAATCAAGAATGAGAAAATAGATTCTTGGCTAAGTTTTCCTCAAGATTATTTTAGCAAAGATTTCTTATTCATTCAAACCCTATTTAATTATACCAATCGTATGGATAATCACTAAAGTAATCTAACCTCTCTCTCGAGCAAGCTAAATCGTTGATTAGTTGCTATCTATCTTCTCTCGTTCTCAAGATGAACAATTAACTCCTCTAGCTCTTAAGATTCTAGTTCCCTCGCAAGATTCTATCAACCTCTCGGTCTGTTTAGTCTCCTACGTTATGAATTTCCAAATTCTAGCAATCAACTATCTCCTCTCGATCTCAAGTCAATCACAAATATGCACAAACACGTGCCCTATATTCAACAATTAATATAAATACAAGAAATTGATAGACGAATGATAGACCGGAATGAATAAATAAAATTACTTCATAAGATAATCCGAGTACTCACAAATCCTAGAATCCCTAAAAGGTTTAGCTACTAAACATGTTCTAAAATCTCAAATTAAATAAATACATGAGTTCAATGAAGAAGAAAAAGAGAAAATAAAGAAGGACTATTGTCGCCGTTAGTTCCCGAATCTTCAATCTTGACTTCCTCGAATTCCTCGTGCGTTTCGTGCTTTCTATCAGCATCCAAAAGTGTCAAAAGTCCCAAACCGAGTTCTCCAAGTCTCTTTTATAGTGTAGGCTGAATATTGGTTGAAATAGGGAAGAAATCGCATCAGATCTGCGCGTCACACGACTCGTGTCACATAGCCAAACGAGTCGTGTGACTATTCTCCAATTTTTGCCAAACTCCCAGACTCACACTACTGGTCACACGACCAAGTCACAAGACCCGTGTGAGGCCACACGACTCGTGTCACATAGCAACACGACTAGTGTGAAAATGCCGTAACGTAAAGTCCCTTTTTTCTCTCTCATACGACTCGTGTCACTGTCCCACACGAGTCGTGTGTCCTCAACTGCATCTGGTTTTCGTCGTTTTTCGTCCCGACTCTATTTTTAACGTTTTTTCGGACATATTTCCTGCAAAACTAACAACAAAAAATACCTCAATCATAGATTAATAAATAAAACATAATGATGCACAATTGAACGATAAACACAGTCAAATATCATAATATATCACTCATAATGCATGTAAAATATGACGAATGTCAGTCGATTACTCGAGATTCCTTCAGGCCATCCTGGGGTTCTTTCTCGACCTGTGTGTACCGTATTCTCATTGTGCTTTTGTTGACCTAAATATCCTTTGTTCGACCTCCGGCCTTGTTCGTCTTACCGGCTTATCCGGTCCAATTGCTTAAAATTGCATAATGATGATGATGATGATGATGATGATGATGATAATAATAATGATGATAATAATAATAATAATAATAATAATAATATTTTTGAACTAACTAATTGGTTTGGATCCATTAAATTAGTGAAAATTACATTATTTATTATATTTTATGTCATCTTTATGGTGATTCATATACAAGTAAAATAGTATATCATTATATTGTTCACTTTTAACGAGGATCAAATTTATAAAAAAATGATATGCATAGTATATAACTTTTTATAGTTATAAATATAATATCCATATATGCAACTTTTAATAATAGTTTATTTGTATTTGTGCATTTGCACCCTATAATTATTGGAAGTATAACGTTGTTATCTTCATGTCTCGTCTCTAATTTCATTCATCAATAAGCATCTCCATCATGTCTTCAATGCCCCTGTAATACTTGTATATACAGTAGTAAGTATACTTGACAATATAATGTAACATTTATAGGTCTCTGGTCATTAGGAGAAAACTGCATAAAAGGAACAAGGCGACTTCTCAAAATGCAGAAAACAAAACAAAGGAGAAAAGAAGAAAACAACCATCTTAAAATAAATAATATAAAAAAAAAAAAAAAATACAA